AAAAAAAAAAAAAAAAAAATATCAAAACCCAAAAATCTAATTATAAACTTTTGAAGCACACCATTAGTGTTGTTTGCTTGTTTATAGATTTTTCAAAAATAAATTCAATACCAACTCAAATCTAACTCAACCTGTTATTTTGCTTGTTTATAGTTTTTTTTTTTCAAAAAATAAATCCAATACCAACTCAAATCTAACTCAACCCTATTATTTTTTGCTTGTTTATAGTTTTTTTTTTCAAAAAATAAATCCAATACCAACTCAAATCTAACTCAACCCTATTATTTCAGTATTATCAATATAATTAAATAATATTAATCAATCATCCTTACACATTAATCCAATTTTAATTTATTATTCATTCACTCACATATAATATTAATCAATCATCCTTACACATCAATCCAATTTTAATTTATTATTCATTCACTCACATGACTTTAAATATTTATCACTTCCAATCACTTCTCTCATTTTTACATTTATATCAACTTTAATTATTTCATTTTAATACAAACACAATATTCCACTCAAACCTTATCAAACAAACTTTTTCAAAATTAACTATGTTTAACCAATAAAATCTAAGAACAACCACGTCATTAGTCCTTTAAGGGCCATAATCAAATGTCTTCGCTTAACTAAAAAATTTAGTCCTTACGAACATGTTTCAAATTTGATTAGCAATTCTACCTGCAAATCCAATAACAATTCCATCTACCAACTTCAGAAGCTAAAAAAAATACGAAAGAACTTCAAAATTATATATTAAAGACTACTGCAAACAAAGTTCGGTTAATGATTTAACATTGGTGACATTGACAAGATCAAAGGCAGGATCAAGTAGCAAACACAACATAAATAGACCACAAAATTGCATGTGTTGGATCAAGCAACTCTTCTCATGCTGCTCTCACTTTCTGAACCTTACTGGGTCGACTGGCTGAGTTATCCATTGATCGAGAATGCTTCCCACCAAAATGCCTACCGCCTCTGTTGTGCTTTCCTCCCCTATAAAAGAAGAAAAAAAAAACATCAAAACACATACATTAACCAACATTTGATATTACGAAACACAATCAACAATAAACACCAATTATCATTCAAAAATACAGAATTTCCCTAAAGCACTATTAATCTCCAATATAACCTACTTACCAAGGGCACAACCCCTAGGGTACAATGAGTAAAAGAAAAACACATGAGAAAACCGATATGTGAAACCTTAAAAGAGAACTGTTATTTTTTTTCCTCATAAATAGGCTAAAGTAGGTAGTTTTGTTAAGTTAGCCCTTGATACAAGACACCTACAAAACTGAAAGTATGGCCGTTATCTTACCTTCCACGGTTGCTCTTAAAATTACTGCGGTACTTTTCCTGACTGTTACGTAGTGAACTCCAGTATTCCTTCTCAGCTTCACCTGAAATCAGACAATTTTTTTTACTTCTTCCAGGTTTATGTTGCATGTGAAAAAATGCAAGGAGAGATTTTACATGTAACTATTAACTCCAGTAGTTATATGTAGTTGATGTCATCATCATAATACTACTCCATCCAATTAACATTGGCCAGTAGAACTCATATAAGAATCATGTCAAACAAACAACACGACAAAAATAGCAGATATATATCATATAGTCAATCAAAAATGAAAAAATGAATGAAGATCAAGCAAGAGGCTGCAACAGACCAGTTACGGGTTCCAGAGTAGCAATGTAATTTTTCACAGTCAGACCACCTTCATCAGCAAGAACTGCAGCAGCACGAGCCTTCTGAGCAGCTCCAGCATCTTCATACCTCACATAACCAGAGTCTGATCCAATAGTAAAGTCGATGAACTACAAAGGAAAAAAAGGAAAAAAGAGAACGAAAACATCCAGACATTAGATGAACACATCTATATTCCCCTCCACACCAATAGTCTCAGATACAACAAATACACGCCAATATACCCTCTGGACAGGGACCAGGACATATCAAGCCACATTGATAGATGGATTAAATTAGTAAAAGCTAAAAGTAGTTGAGGATAAGAGGCAATTATGTCTTTTAGTAAAACCAAAATAATTAATTATACAAATTGAATGTGCGATAAGTTACTTCCATCATTCGATTTTCTCATTAAATATACATTGATTTATATTGCCAACACTCACTCCCTAGCTTTAGATTCTGACTTGTCAAACACTAAGAACTACTCTTCTTCAGCAGAAGCTAATAAAATAATATAAACACTCCCTTAGTCTGTCCTTGAAACTTCACAAAGCATATAAATTGGCTCTACATCATCAGAAAAGTAACAATGAATGGAGGATTCATGGTTGATTGTTAATACCTTGACCGCACCAAACTTCTGGAAAATGATTTTCAGGTCCTCCCTAATAACAACATCTTTATTGTTCTTGTAGGCCTCAAAGTTTTTTTTGCCTTCACCCGGTCCTTGGACCTCCTTCTCAGTCTGAACATCTGAAGATTCCTGAGCTTCAGTATCATCTGCACCAACTTTATCCGGTGTTTTTTCCTCACCCTTCACATCTTCTATCACAACATCTTCCGAACCCTCTACTTTGATTCCTTCAGAAGCAACTTGCATTTTGTCTTGATCACCATCTTTCTCAGAGACATCCGGTTTGTCATTACTAGTCGACTTGTGAGTACCATTTTGTCCCGTAGAATCTTGACCAGAGATCTTCTTCAGTTTGAATGCAACAATTAAGCCTTTGGGGTAGCTGCCACAACAAATGGTTACCAGATTAACATATGATGATGTGAGTAATATAACAGATGATTGAAAATATTGATTTTGTTGAACACGCACTCAGGTTCAGCATTAGCCTTGTCCTTGCGGTTAGAATTAGCTTGAGAACGAGTCTTTGCAGCTTCTTCCTCTTGCTTAGCTCTTTCTGCATCAAATTCCTTCCTGAAACAGAAATAAAAAGATACTTATCAAGCTCTGCAGAAGGGTGACCCAAAAAAAAAAAAAAATAAAATAAAATTAATCAAGATCTGATACAATAAGCCATCATTATTATATCGTCGTTCCATACTATCCACTACATGAGGTGGTATGTTTACTTTTAACTTACCAAGCAAGCAAAAAATCAAATTACTCTATTCTGTTTGTGTAGACGCTTTACGATATAAATGATGAACTAAGGAAAGTTAAGAACACAATAAATAAAACCTTCAAATGTATGAGATTCATAAATGAAGTGCATTTCCTAGGTACACTTGGTAACACAGCATGCTACTAAATGAAATGAGGAAATTGCGAAACAGTAGAAACAATACTGATGCAACACAACCTATCTAACACATATAACGCAACAAGGAAGATTTTAGTGGAGCAAAATTTCAGTCCCATCATCAGAAGAGACAGAAAATAAATACTAATTATCCACATATTACATGGAAATGTCACATTGATTCTTAATCTGACAAGTGATGAACATGTTCCTACAATAGATCAAGATCAGAAGTTAATGTGTGTGTGTGTGTGTATATATTAAAAAATGTAAACATACTTTGGTTTCAGTTCTAGCTCAACACCCGAGTAACTCAGGCTCTGCTTCAAAATGTTTGCAGCATCATCCTCACTTGAGAACTCAATAAGTGCTGTGCCACAGAAAACCCTGCTATCAGCAACATGTCGGGGTAGCCTCACACTATTAACCTGGCGTGAAAGATAGAATTTATGTCACAAAAGGTTGTGAAAGCTTCCAAGCTAAGTTACACGAGGTTGTGAAAGTTAGCAAGTGAAGGTTCTAAAAGCCAATAGTGTGATACAAAAACAATGTCAAAAGTTCTGCTGAAGAATCACAACTAGCAAGTTAATGGCATGTCCAAATGTCATGCTACATATTAGCTTAGGTATATGAAAATCAAAATTCCATACCAAAAAAAAAGTCAAAGTTCCGTTCCGTTCAACAGTGAACTATAGCCTAATTGCTCAAGTTTGACTTTGTACAAGCATTTGCATCATTGCAGGTGGAAGTTCACAATGATAACTAGCAATCGGCCAATCACGTTTTGAGCAAAGGACCACTGAATATCAAATTAGAAACACAGCCAATATGTGAGTCACAAGATGTACCTTAGCATACTGGCTAAAAAATGACTCCACATCTTCAAGCTTAACATCATATTCCAGGGGTAAAGCCGCAATTGTTCTTTCATCAGATTGCTTAATAGCCTCCTCTGGTTTTGGAAGCTCAGTAAGTCTACCAACCTTTGTACCTTAACACGGAATAAATGAAACAACAATTCAGTAAAAGATACAACATTCAATTTCAGAGAGTGACATGTCTTGATCTTTAACCCTCACCATCTTCAGAAACCCGAAGAAAAGTCGAGGTCCTCAGAGTTTCAGCCACGGCCTTAATTGTATCTTCCGGTACATCTTCAGGTTTCACTTCTCCCAAACCCAAGTGACCTCTCATCCGAGAAAATGACGAAATCAAAGCCAAACTTATCACTAGAATCCAGTTAAGAAATCAATTTACTAACAAGACACCATATGCAGTCTTTATGCAAGTATAAGTGATTTATTGAACCGGGTGCATCTGCTCTGCTTTTGTTAATTAGCTCATAATCCAAGAGACACACCATTAAATCTAGACTGAAGTATAAAAATTCAAGTCTCAACTGATTTTGTAGTTACACTCTAACTAATAACAAACAGTTTGTGCCAAACTAATTCTAACGATTGAAACCACATTATTTTAACTAAATCTTCAAACCCCACTAAGAAAAAAGATAAATCAACTAAACCACTGGCAAAAAACAAGAAAATGATAGTGGAAAAGGATACATCCATCATCACTTTCGCTAATGGTTTTCTTCATAAACTTATCCCTGGGAAGGTTGCTGTCACTAAAATAAAACTCCACCTGAAAGAACAACAGATTTGAATGTGAATTGGGGCGGAAAAATCGAGCATCACATTATATTCTAACAGTCAATAGGAAAAGCCAAAATAATTGCGGAACATAAACTAAGATTACCTGACGAATGACCTTTTTTGCTGTCTCTTCGTCCAATGATGGCGCCATGGTTGCAGTGGTTAGGTTAGGGAGTGTAGCACTGTGAAAGAGCTCACGGGGAGAGATAGGGAGCAGTTCCTAGGGTTTCGAGGGGTGGGGATTAATGGTGATTTTAAAGGGTTCTTTGTTGTTTGTGGACAAAAAGACCAAATAACCACTGGCTTCCCTTATGGCAACTGCCCACTACGTACATGGATGGAAGAGAAACTGTTCCACTTGTTTAAAAATCAAGGCATGACACATACTAACTATTCAGTAGCACTACCTTGTGCCTTGGCGCACCTAGTTAGATGTGCCAGGGCAATTTTGCACGCATTTCCCTCACCCCAAAATTAAAAAAATTTAGAGAATATAGTGCACATGTCTATTTTTCTTTTTTTAATTGAAAAATGAGTCATATTACAGAAATTGAAATATCATTAATTATTTATATTAAAAAAATAAAATAAAAATACCAAAATTCATAATTTTTCATTATCTATAAATAGAGACCACATTTGATAGGTTTTTGAACACAACTAATTTTTTGTTTTTTTGTTATTATTTTATTATACTGACATATAATGAACATGTTACATAATAAAATGAATATGTTTTCAAATATGATGAACATGTTACATATTGCAGATTGAAATAATACATATTCATCTTGTTTTATGACATGTTCACCTTATTGTGTATGTAACATGATCATCTTATTCTATAACATGTTCATTTTATTATGTAACATGTTCATCTTATTCTATAACACGTTCACCTTATTGTGTATGTAACATGTTCATCTTATCTATAACATGTTCCTTTTATTATGTAACATGTTCATCTTATTCTATAACATGTTCATTTTATTATGTAACACGTTCATCTTATTTTAGAACATGTTCATCTAAATTTCATCTATGAAAAATGTAACATTTTCATCTTATTCTATGACATGTTCATCTTACTCTATAACATGTTCATCTTACTATGTAACATATTCATCTAATTATAGATTTATGTCACAATCTTCCAATAAGATAAATTAATTGTGAAAAATGATAAATTAATTGTGTTCCAAAAAATATCAAATGTGGCCTCTACTTGTAGAGAATGAAAAATTATGAATTTTGGTATTTTTATTTTTATATTTTGATACAAAATGTGAATGATAATTTAATTTATGTAATATGATGTATGAATTTCATTACCCAATAGTAATAGGACACATGTTCCATTTTAAAAAAAATGCCTTACCTCCTTACCTCACGCGCTTTTGGAGGGGTGTATTTCACAAAAGGCCCTGGCACACCTAAATATTTGCACTAACCATTCATAAAAGCTAATATTTTCGGAGAAAAGAATAGAAGAGAGTGTGATAATCTCTAAATTTTTCTCTCTCTAGGAGAGCCCTTTCTCTCTTTGGATAGTTCTTTCCCTCAACTGGAGGGTTTTTTTAGTTTTCTTTATCTTATCAAGCTTGGGACATCTCTCTTTGGAGAGCCTTTGTCGATAGTTCCTGGGAATGGAATGTGTTAATACCAGTAATTTAGCAGAAGAAGTGGAACACGTCTGAGGCCCTTCTCTTTCTCTAGGGTGGAGAACAAAATTATTGACCTAGGGGATGAGGATGTCCAGACGGGGGTTGAAGAGTGCCATAAGAGTTTGTTTGGGAAAATAGTTGGGGAGAAACGTGCACACTTCCTTGGGATTAAGCGGGCAATGAGCCTAATTTGGAAACAGCAGCAGCCGATGGAGGTTCGTGAACTAGGACCAAATTTTTTCCATTTTATGTTTGAAAACACTGAGAATATTAAGAGAATCGAGGGAGGAACGAACTGGATATTCGAGAATCAGTATGTAATTATTTCGAGGTGGAAGGAGGGGCTGAACTGCAAGGATGAAGTCTTTTCTATGCTCAAGATGTGGGTTCAAGTGCACCATGTTCCAATAAATTGGCTTACTAATGAAGTGGGTATGAAGATTGGCAAAGTGTTCCCCACAACTGCAAATGTGATTATCTCCAACTTAGGGGGTCAAGGAGGTAGAATTCTTAAACTGTTGGTGACAGTGGACCTCAGGGAGGCTCTACCCAGATGTGCCACCATAAGGCTGGGTTCTCAGATGATCACGGTCACTTTCAAATATGAAAGGTTAGCCAATCTTTGCTATTACTGTGGTATGGTGGGTCATATTGAGAATAGCAGTGCCACTAGGTTGGAGGATATTGGTAACAATGGCTTGAAAAAGGGGCAATATGGGGATTGGCTCAGAGCATCTGAAGGATTGAGGGTCTCAGCTGTAATAGATCTGATAAATCATCGAAGCATGAGGGAGGTAGCCCATCAACACCCATTAATGTTCAGGCTGCAGTAGCTGAGAATGATGTTAATGAGAAGGGTATATCTGAAGAGAGAATCAACCAGGAATCAACAGGGAAAAGTGCAGTCAGGGTGGAATCAAGTCTGTCAAAACAAGGGGAGGGATCTTCTGGGATAACTTAAAAAGGGGGCTGGTTTTGGTTGACACTCAGGTGTCTGCCCCAATGTTAGAGGTCTTTTCTCACTTTATCACAATTGGAGATAGTCAGCATGACAATATGGTTGCTGTAGAAGGGCAGATGATCACTGAAGGTCTGACTGTTGTGCAAAGAAGAGTACTACCAGAATCTATTGCTGGTAAGAAGACATGGAGAAGGAAAGGTTCTAAAGAGGGCAGGCTTATCAGCATTGGCATGGACTTATCAATGGGAGGATCTTCCTCAGCATCTAAAAGACAGAGAGACATAGGGGGATCTTATGGACAAGGAATCTGAAGGGGAGCAGTACCAAGCTACTGAGAAGAACTCCAAACTTATGAAGGCTAAGGACTTGAGGGGCAGCCTTAAAGGACCCTCAAATGGCCAATGCTAGCTCAGGTGTGGAACTATAGAGGCCTGGGTGGGCCCTCTACAGTTCCCCAGATAAAAGAATCCCTAAGGATCCACCACCCAAACTTTCTTTTTCTCTCAGAAGTCAGAAAACCAAAATTTTTTCTAAATCTGTTTGTGTTAAGCTGGGTTTTGCTGGTAGGTATCTTTGTGTGGAGCCTAGAGGGGGTAGTGGAGGGCTTCTTTTGCTGTGGAATGAGGAGGTGGACATTGTCCAATCTTCTAGTGATCATTTTTTTATTGTTGTTCAGTATAAGCATATAAAAGAGCGGACTATGACTTGGGCTGTTTTTGTCTATATTAGCACTATTAAGGCTGAAAGGGAGGTTCAATGGGGTAGGTTGATGGGTGAGAAACATAATTGGGAAGAGATTTGGTGGATGGCAGGGGAGTTTCAAAGGTTTCAATGATTTTATAAATGGGATAGAAGTTCAGGAACTCACTCTGACAGGGTTGCAGTTTACTTGGGCCAAGTGGAGGAGCTTCTGGATAGAGTTTTTGTGTCTATGGGATGGTTATCTAATTATCCTTCCACTACTGTGACCAGCTGGTTTAGAAGCTCCTCAGACTATTGTATGCTGATCATTGATTCCCATGGGCAAACCAGTAGAAGAAAGAAGAGATTTAAATTTGATAAGAGTGGATTCAGAAGGGTGAAGTCATAGAAGTGATTAAAGAAGCTTGGGAGACTCATTCTGATGGTACTCCAATGTTTGTGGTTAAGGAAAAAATTAGGAAGGCTAGGGAGGCCCTGCTTATCTGGAGCAGACATTTCAAAACAAACACTGAAGCTAGAATTGAGAGACTCTCTCTTCAGTTGGCAGAAATGAGGGAACAAGGAGGGGACAAGAACTAGGAAGCTTGGGAGAGATTACAGCAGGAGTTAAATGAGGCTAATGGCTCTGAGGAAGCTTTTTGGCAGCAAAAGGCTAGAACTCTGTGGCTCAAAGGAAGTGACAATAATACCAAGTTCTTCCATGCCTTTGTTCAACAGAGAAGAAAAATGAATGCTATTGAGAGGCTCCTGGTTGAAGGGGACAGACTGAGTTCAAACCCTGTTGAAATTAAGCAGACAATTAGCGAATATTATGAGGAGCTATTCAAATCTCAGGGGTCAAGGAATGGACAAGAGTTCTTACCTCACATAAACTAGTCTGTAACTGAAGAGCTTAACAAAATGATGATTTTCCCAGTGGATGAAGATGATATCAGAAGGGCAGTCTTCAGCATAAATCCTGAAAAATCTCCAGGGGAAGATGGGATGACGGGGTTTTTCTTCCAACATTTTTGGTCCATCATCAAAGCAGACATCTGTAGTGCAGTCAAAAGCTCTTTTGAATCCAGTCAAATGCTGAGGTACTGGAAGCATACCTTGATTACTTTTGTGCCTAAGTGTTTTAACCCAACATCTATTGCTCAGTTTAGGCCCATCAGTTTGTGTGATGTATTTTATAAAGTTGTTTCTAATATCCTTGCATCCAAAATTAAACAATGCCTTCACCTGTGCATTTCTGAAACTCAGTTAGCCTTTATTTCTGGGAGGTGTTTGTTTGACAATGTGATTCTGGGCCATGAGGTTTTCCATTTTCTCAATAGACATAGATCAGGGAAAAACTCATTTATGGCTTTGAAGTTGGATGTTGTTAAAGCTTATGGCAGCCTTGAGTGGAAATCTGTGCAACTGGTCATGATGAGGATGGGATTTCACCCTGCATTTGTCAAATGGGTTTTAGCCTGTATTCAGTGGCCTACTTTTTCTTTCAATTTGAATGGGCTCCCTCAGGGATATATTACAGCATCTAGAGGGATTAGGCAGGGGGATCCCTTATCCCCCTACCTATTCATTTTAACTTCTGAATTGCTCTCAGCTAGAATCAAAGTGGAGGTTGAGAGAGGTGGCTTCAAAGAGATCCGGTTATTTAGAGGAGGGCCAGAGTTAACTCATATTATGTTTGCAGATAACATCTTGGTGTTTTGCAGAGCTCAGGTGAATCAAATGCATAAGTTGAAGCAGATTCTGCATAGCTACAACCAGTTCACAGGGCAGAAAATTAATATGGGAAAGTGTACAACTTTTTTTCAGCAAAAATACTTCAAGGGAGGTTCAACTTAGTTGCTGTTAGCTACTAAAAGGGATCTGTATCCATTCATCTACAAGATATTTAGGATTTCCTCTTGGCATAGGGAAGTCCAAAAAACAGGTTTTTGAGTGTGTGCTCTCAGTGGTTAAGGGCAGGCTCTCCAATTGGAAAAACAAATGGCTTTCTTCTGCAGGTAAGGAAGTGCTCATCAGAGCTGTGATCAATGTTTTACCAGTCTACTCTATGTCATCTTTTGTCCTTCCTGTGGGTTTGTGTGAGGAAATTGCCAAGGCTACTGCTCAGTTTTGGTGGAACAAAGGGGTAGAAGAGAAAAGAGGGTTCCACTGGGTAGCTTGGGATAAGTTAACTTTGGCTAAAAAGCATGGAGGGCTTGGGTTTCAGGACATCCAGTTTTTCAATGAAGCTCTGATAGCAAAGCAATTGTGGAGATTGGTTAATGAACCTGATAGGCTGGTGAGTAGGGTTCTGAAGTCAAAGTATTTCCCCAATACTGATCTTTTTTAGGCTCACCACACTCAGAATTGCTCCTGGATGTGGAGCAATTGGCTATCTGTGATGAGTAAATGTAGTAAGTGGATGAAAAAAGAGATTGGAGATGGGAAAAGCACTGCTGTTTGGGACATGCATTGGATAACTAGTATGGTGGGGAAACCAGTTGAGCTTGTGGCAGGAATAGATAGAAACATAAGATGGGTCAGGGATATAATGAATGAGGATGGAGATGATTGGGATGAATGCAAAGTGAGAAGAACCTTTCCTGGCCATGTCAATGAGGCTGTTCTAGCCATTAAATCAGTGAACCTGGAGGTGCAAGACATGTGGTTGTGGTCTCTCAGTAAGAAAGGTGAATTTTCTGTTAAGTCCACATATTCCAAACTCATTACTGACAAATTCCTGAGGTTGGTGCATGCCCAAGGTAGCAAGGACTTGATCACAGATGCAAAAGTGAGGGAAAGGAGCTGGAAACTGAGAGTTATGGGGAAGGTTAAGCATTTCCTTTGGAAATGTTGTAACAATTCTCTCCCTGTCAATATGCTTCTGGCTTCTAGGGGAATATCTGTTGATGTTAACTGCAGCATGTGTGGGGAAGGGCCTGAGTCATTGGAACATCTGTTTTTCAACTGTAATCAGGCAAAATTGGTTTCGAAGCTGGCACCAGTTCATGGGAGGGCCCTAAGCTGCAAGAAACTTTTAAACACTGATGGTGGCATGTTTGCCAGTTGGACAAGTCTGATACTTCTGAAGCCAGAATTCAATTATCCACATATATTCTTTGGTGGCTTTGGAAGTCGCGTAATCTTTAGGTATTTGAGAAGATTAGAAGACCTGCTCCCCTTATAGCTAAATTAGCTATCCATGATTGGCAAGCTTACTTAAACTGTAGGGGCTTGTAGGTTTTGTTTTTCATTTTGTGTTTTTTTGGCTGTGCTGTTTTTTTCTTTCTCTTTTCTTTCCTTTTGGTTTGGTTTTTTAGCTCAGCTAGGATCTTTGATCAGTTGTTGGGTGTTGGTTCTTTTTAGTTTTGCTATGTTGTAGCTGTTTGGAGTAAAGGCTCAGGTGTTTTGTCTGCTTCATTGCCATTAGTTAGAGCTATAGTTGAACTGTTTGTTTGGTTTATTTTCTAGGCCACCTGCGTGTGGTGCTCCCATGTTGTCGGCTTTGATTTGTAATCTTGTACTCTGGTTTTCATTTATGAGAATATTTCTATCGTTCCGGAAAAAAAAATAATATTTTCGAAAATTGAGAGTGTTGGTACTAAAATTTGAAGATCACTAAATTATACTCCCTCCATTATGAAATATAAATCACATAAGGAATTAGCCCAAATATTAAAGAGACATTAATTAATGAGTAAATTAGCTAAATTAACCTTATTTACTCTAATCCAACCACTATAATTATAAGACTCCACACTTCTTTAATTTCATCACAATCACGAGAAACAAAACTCTGATGTTTACAGAAGAAACTAAAAGGGCAGTTTTCAGAATAATTATGCTCCATGATAAAAAAATTTGGCGGCATGTTTATGAGAAATTTTGGTTTGCTGCAAATTGAAAATTATCCGCCAGATTTGTACTTCAACTCATAGAACTTTGTCGCTAACTATGAGAAAGAAAAAATAGAATCAGGAATACACCAAAGCCAAATTGATGATTATAAGTTTTCTTTTGATCTCAATATTAGTCCTTCATCCGAGCGATTATCGTTGGACTTAAACAATGATCCACCTGAAGGAGAAGATGGTACATATTCATTCGACTTAAACTTGTCGCCATGTGAAGAAGTAGATGGTCACTTGAATGAAATATTAAATCAAGAAGTTGATGGTGTTCATGATCTGGTGGAAGAGTCGGAAGAAGAAGAAGTTCATAGTTATTTCTTTGAAGAAGGACCCGAAAACGACTACGGTGAACACTTTGAGGAAGGATTAAAGCAAGATGATTATGTTGATTATTTTGAAGATGTCGAATTCGATGAAGAAACAAACAACACAGGTTCTTTACGATATTCTCTTTCTTTTCTTTTAATCGATTAATTTGTTCTTAGAAATCAGCACAATCTTTTTTGATCCATAAACATACATTTACTAACTTTTTTGAATTCGTGAACGTCACATGCTTTTTTTTTAATATATAAAAAGCATCATTTTCTCCTCCACTCATTTCACCTTCTTCACAAGACCTTATCTTCTACACTCAAAGTTTTTCTTACACCTCCATAGCCAAGCTTCACCATGGTTTAAGCTTAGATCTGGCCATCCCTAGAAACTTTCCGGCAGGTCACCAACTCCAGCCAGCCACTGCCGGCGAGCACGCCACCAGCTCAGCCCCGAGCTCACATCCCTCTCAGCCTCGCCTGAAAAACTGCATGTCCAAGCTTACGGCGCCACTGTTCCGTCAGAGGCACCATCCTACAGCTCCGACGAGATCTCTTTCATGGCAAAACTCAAACCCACAGCTCACTCGCGACCCAGTTGCTCTCCACGCCGGCAATGAGCTGAGACCGTGCGAGAGCTTAGACCTGCAGTGATCCAGAAAGAGCATGCCCAGAGATGTACTCGTAGTACGAGGGTTCGTGGACGTCTTTTCGGATCAGCTACCGGGAGGACCACCTAGTCGTCAGGTGAAGTTCACGATCGACCTGGTTTCTGGAGACGGGCCAGTGTCGAAAGCGCCCTATCGTATGGCGCCGAAGGAGCATTAGGAGTTGAAGGCTCAGATTCAGGAGTTGTTGGGTCTCCTCTTTGTGAAGAAGAAGGAAGAAACACTGCGCATGTGCATTGAATATTGGGACTTAAACCGGTTGACGGTGAAGAACAAGAATCTGCTCCCCATGATAGAGGACTTATTCGACCAGCTGAGAGGTGCTAGTGTATTTTCCCGGATAGATCTTCGTTCGGGTTACCATCAGCTGAGGATTCGAGAGTCTGACGTGGCGAAGATCGTGTTTTGTACCTGATACGGTTACTATGAGTTTGTCGTGATGCCGTTCAGCTTGACCAATGCGCCGGCGGTATTCATGGATCTCATGAATCGTGTCTTTCACCCATACTTGGACCAGTTTGTCATCGTCTTCATAGATAACATTTTGGTCTACTCGAGGAGCACAGTCCAGCACGAGGAGCATTTGAGGATCGTGTTGAAGACCTTTAGACGGGAGAGACTGTATGCCAAGTTCTCGAAGTGCGAGTTTTGGCTCGATCGCGTAGTGTTCCTCGGTCATATCGTTACGGCCGAGGGCATAGAGGTCGATCCCAAGAAGTTTGAGGCAGTCAGAAATTGGTCAGCACCAAAGTCCGTTACCGAGATTCGTAGTTTTCTTGGGTTAACAAGCTATTAAATGAGGTTTATCGAGGGGTTTTTGAAGATAGCCCTACCCTTGTCACTTTTGACGAGGAAGTCAATGAGGTTTGAGTGGAGTAGACGTTGTGAGTCGTGCTTTCAGGAGCTCAAGAGGAGGTTGACTACGGCACCCGTGCTGACTATTCTGGACCCTACACGGAGCTTCACTATCTATAGTGATGCTTCGAAGCAGGGACTTGGGTGCGTGCTGATGCAGGAGGGCAAGGTTGTCGCATACGCTTCGCGACAGCTGAAGCCCCACGAGGAGAACTACCCGACTCCTGACCTTGAGTTGGCAGCCATTGTTCATGCACTCAAGATATGGAGGCACTATTTGTAAGGTGGTCGGTGCGAGATCTACACCGATCACAAGAGTTTGCAGTACATCTTCACGCAGAAGGAGCTCAACATGCGCTAGAGGCGATGGTTAGAACTAGTGAACGATTATGATTGCACCATTCAGTATCATCCGGGGAAGGCGAACGTAGTAGCCGAGGCCCTTAGCTGAAAGACGAGGGGTAAGTTAACTTGCATGATCACCCAGCAGAGTCAGCTCCTTCGAGAGTTCGCTTGGTTGCAGTTAGATGTCGTCAAGTCACTTCCTACGATGCCCGTAGTAGGAGGTATTCGGTCGATGAGAGTGTGGCCCATGCTCCGAGATAGAGTTTGGAGAGACCAGTCTGATGATGAGTTCGTCTGTTCTATTAGGGCGAAGGCTCTTGCCGAGGGCGTAGAGGGGTTTTTACCGAGGCGCAGATGGTGACTTAGAGTACAAGAGGAGGATTGTTGTGCCGAACGTCGAGGCCCTGAGGAAGGAGATCTTGACCGAGGCTCACAGTGCACCCTATTTGGCGCACCCCGGCAGCACTAAGATGTACCACGACCTAAAAGGGTCATTTTGGTGTAGGGGCTCGAAGAGAGATGTAGCTGAGTTTGTGAAGAAGTGCTTGGTTTGCCAGCTGGTGAAAGACGAGCACAAGTTCCCACCGGGTTTAGTGCAGCCCTTAGAGATCCCACTGTAGAA